TAAAATTATTTGAATCTCGCTTGTAAATAAAAAATATACTATATATCAAAATATGTTTAAGGTGACTTTGTAACTGCGATCATTGAGCGAAACGCAACGACAAGGACAGTCCAATTCGTATTAACTTTTTTAGTAATATCAAGCTTTGGAATAAACTCCCTTCTTGGTATTACAATAAGGCATATTTCCTTCTATCAGCATTTATCATACAGCATTTTCACGTAGTAGTCAAAGAAGCGGTTTGACTGTTCCCCTCGTATTGCCGCTGTCGCTGCCTTGTCAATACCGATTTCATGCTTTTGATAGCTAATAAAAACTTTATCGAGACAATATATTTCTACCTAAAAACTACTTACAAACGATTGACGTAGATCGAAATTTAAACATAAAATATGCGAAGACAACAATTGAAAAACTATCTAAGAAAAAAACCTTACATTGAAAGAAGAACCTTAAAAACTGTTTTGCATATTGCCCGGCATATTAATAAGAACTAGAGGTCCCGCAGTAGTCGAAATTCGACTATAATTAATTGGAATTGTAAGTTTGTAAACTATTATGATTGTATTTTATACTTCTATAATCACAAATTTCGCCAAGACTACACTAAGAAGAAAAGTTTGACAATAAATAGTATGCATGCGTGTGTGCGTCAAATACATGGTATGTAGTGTGTGTAACGTTTTCTTTGTTGATTTAATGTATCTTTTATGCATTATTTAAAAAAAAAATAGCATTGTGCACTTCTTCCACGTCCGCGCAATTTTCGTAAAAAGGGATACAAAGTTTTTGCTTCACGTATTAATATATAGATAATATTCTATATAAAAAAATCGAAGGATTTATTAAGCTTTCCCTTTCCAAAAATCGATGGCAAATAAATCATCGTTTTATTCAACGAGACCCTTTTCAAACCTCCATGGAATTAAACTCAACTAATACAAAGCGCAGTTACCAAAGGACAAGCGGACGTAAATATTTTATAAATCTTGGAATAGAGACACGCCTCGTACCCTCGTCATGAGTCCTTGGAAGTTCCAATGTTTCTAATTTCGGAGACTGCTATGTATATTATATGACGTGAGTGCTTCACACACTCTTAATCTTGAGAAGCTTTTTTATTTATTACTTTAATGTGAAACTATAGAATTCAGATACTAAATTTGGTGTCAGAAACTGCTATAAAAAAACGTCCAGTTTTTTACTGCTTAAGATGAGTAGGCCAGACTATTATAAATACTATAAATATTAAGTGGATACCAAAGTTTATCAAAAAAGAGAAAAGCAAAAGACGAAACTGAATTACTTTATTTTTTATGGTCAAGACACGAGATTAAACTTTTTGTTGCTAATTGTTCCATAATGACTGGCCCACTCTTCAATGTTGGACAGCAACAATCTTTTACCGCGAAACGCGTTATTCCTAGTGGTGGAACCTTCGAACGGAAACCACAAAATATTTAACGTTAAGTTCACCTGAGAAACAACATACACGTACGCAATAACTTTAATACAAACATTACTACAAATAATTTAATACGCGTGATTCCGATACGCAAGTTATCAATGCATATATTATAAGATCTGTTTGATTCATGAACTGGAATAATATAATCCGAAAGTGGCTGACTCATAAGGATCCAGTAACTGGTGTCAGCTTCACTTCCGACTGCAATTACGTGAGTTAAACATTATTTCGGATTAACAGTGTATAATTTAAGATGGTGGCTAGACTAATTGGCGAAGATCACGGATTCATTCGTCATCTCAGCCTGTCCACTGTCCACTGCTGAACATAAGCTTTTCCAATTGATATCAAGTCTGGCCGGTCCGTTGCCACCTGCATCCGATGTGACCCAGCGATTTTCACACTGTCCACTGCTGAACATAAGCTTTTCCAATTGATGTCCAGCGTGGCCGCTCCGTTGCCACCTGCATCCAACGTGACCCAGCGATTTTCACTAGATCGTCAGTCCATTTGTAGGTGGCAATCCCACACTGTGCTTGTCAGTACGTGATCTTCACTCGAGGACCTTTCTGTTCCATCGGTCGTCCGATGTTCGCGTTATATGGCCCTCCTACGGATTCATTAGCACGATAAAAACAAATAAGTCATAACTATACGCTTTTTCCCACGAATTAACTAAGATGCTCGGTTTATAGCAGTAGCTCTTTCCACGGTCACGACTCTGAAGTATAAACAGCCTCCGACCACCAGTCGATGTCATGTAATGAGGGATAAGAGCATGAAGAGGAAGAGATTTTTGCTTCCCCAATGATTTTGGAATATCATGCAATAAAATGAACCAAACAAAATATTCATACAAAAATGGCACTTATATTTCTAACCGTTTACACTCAACATTTTATAATAGACGAAATGACCGCTCAAAGGAAGTATCATTTCATATTTACGAGCCATTGCCGTACTTTTATGAAGGCCTGGACTACTCCACGTTTTATGACATTGTTAGCGCCGGTCGGCCCATATACTGACACTTCAAAGTCAAACGACTGTGTCGCCCTGTGAGTTATGGACTCGGCACTTTAAAAGGTAGTCTAGGAAAAAGCGCTCTTTATACGTTTGCGGTTACGGAAAATTTATTTTACTCTATCTATATATTAATACGTGAAGCAAAAACTTTGTATACCTTTTTACGAAAATTGCGCGGACGGAGGAGTATGAAATTTTCCACACTTATAGAGAATATAGAGAAGAAGTGCACAATGCTAATATTTTTTTTAAATAATGCATAAAAGATACATTAAGTCAATAAATAAAACATTACACGCACTACATACCATGTATTTGACGCACATACGCATGCATACTATTTATTGTCAAACTTTTGTTCTTGACGTCTGTGGTCAAATTGAGAATAGATTAAATATTGTTTGTCTTTATTAATTTTTTTATATTGTAGCCTTGGCGAAATTTGTGATTATAGAAGTATAAAATACAATCATAATAGTGTATAAACTTATTATACAATTCCAATTAGTTATAGTCGAATTTCGACTACTGCGGGACCTCTAGTATAGTTAAATTTTCCTGAAATGGGTGATTCATAAATATGAATCGTGCGTAGACAAAAAATGTCATGAAATTTTTGATAACAGTGAATTTTGAATGAATTTATACCTCAATTCTGAAACAACTTCAATAAAAGTATTGTTGTCTTACCGAGAACCGAACAAAGACCTCTTGGTTCATTAGCTGCTACACTAACGAAGCGATCAAATTTAATCAAATCAATTAGGTGACCAGTCGTGCAACGTTTGATTAGTTAATTTTAATGCGGATAATTCTCCTGTTATTAATCAGAACAGTTGAGTTGAGTTGAGTATGCAACTCTGCCTCCTAATTAAGTAATCCTACCGCAACAAGGCATATTATAAAGTTAAGGATTATTTCCTAGATGGCACTACGTGGGAATGAGGCGTTCGGTCCTGGCCTTTTCATTTTTCATTATTATTATTATTATTTTAATTGTATTTTTTGACTTGTTTTTTCCTTTATTGTAAATATTTTTATTTATTTTAAAAAAAAGGAAATATTTTGAGAAAAAACAAAAAACAAAAAAAAGCCCGCTGAGTTTGTTTCGCCGGTTCTTCTCAGGACTGTGGCTGTTTTTGAAACCGGTGGTAGAGTTAATATTGTTATTTGTATTTTGACATTCAACAAGTGTGTCATACTGACATCTAAGTTGAAATAAATGATTTTGAATTTGAATTTGAATAATTCTCCCTGATATTAATTCTCTCCATTCTTGTTACTAGCCTACAGGGTATATTATTGCCATTCTTACCACTATTACTACTGGATCCCACTGAATGTTTCCCAGTATCATTACGAGCTTCAAATCCAATTTTAATTAAAGCTATTGTAAAACATTCATGTTTATTTACACTGTCTATACACGAGTAATAATTTATCCCCAAGCACGTTTATAGAATTACTAGGTATATAGAACACTTCAACATTCAGAGGATCGGTTCGTGTTTGGTCTCCAACGTAATTGATGATGACGTAAGGTTTATGTTTCATTGCGGAAATCCATCTCCAAATCGAATTTCAAGGCTATAGATTTCCTGATTTGCGGTTTGAGAATGTGACCATGACCTAAAAGTCTATTATTTTCATCTATACTAATATTATAAAGAGGAAAGATTTGTTTGTTTGTTTGTTTCGAATAGGCTCCGAAACTACTGGACCGATTTGAAAAATTCTTTTTCCATTAGAAGCCGACATTGTCCCTGATGAACATAGGCTACTTTTTTTATTTTTTTATTTTTTTTGGTTTCATGTGTGTTTTAATGTTTCCGAAGCGAAGCGAGGGCGGGTCGCTAGTTATCTTTATAAATCTTATGTGTATAATGGATTTTTTTATATTCTATTAGCTTTTTTAACGAGAATTGAGGCTTGTGATATCAGTAAATTAAAATGAAACTTTAATCTCATGTCTTAAAGAGGCTTGCGACATTAAGGTTCTAATGGTAATTTTCATGGCTTAAATGAATAGCTCCCAAACACTTTAACCCATTTATATCAATATTTAGGGGGAGGTAGCAGTTTGCCTGTACCCCCTGTATTTATGTCGTTTAGAAGCAACTATGACCACTGTGGGCCATATGCTCATCTGCCTAAAATGAAAATAAATATTTAAATAAATAAATTGAAAACGGCCGAATGGTGTACTGGTAAGTGACATAGTCACTACATAAGGGGGTCGCGGGTTCGAATCCCGCCAAGGGAAGATGTTTGTATGATAAATATAAATGTCTTTTCCAGGGTTATGGATGTATATTAAATATATGTATGTGTATAATAAAAATCTTACATTTATTTCCGTAATCTGGTACCTGTAATACAAGTTATTTACGAACTTATCACGGGACCAGTTAACGCGGCGTGATTGTTAGTAAATTTTTATATTTATATTTATATATTTATTAAAAGCTTAATATTTTAATTATTATCATTATTTGTTCTATTTCAGGTCGATCAGAACCCGGGATCGCTCCATCTATTGTGGGCTTCACGAAGGACTCGGTCGCCCACGAGTCCGACCGGCTAGCCCCTGGTGACAGGATTTGCAGCGTGAACGGTATCTCCACGGCGCGACTCACTAATGACGAAGTTCTCCGGCTGCTCGATAATGTGGAAGAACGAGCTTCACTTGAAGTGGAATATTACATGCCTAATTATGGTGAGAAATACTAATTATCTATCTATCTATATATATATCTATCTATCTCTATATATATATAACTAGTGAGGTCATAAGTATTGTCACACAGTAAAAACTTTTCTTTTAGAATGCTGGCCACAAAAAAGTTTATTGAATTCGAATTTCGAATTGTTCATGAAAATAAAAATGTATACTTTTAGAATTTTACTCATTTTTAAAATTTGGAGTGGACGCTTAAAGAAGACCGCGTTGCAGTTATTGCGTTGCATCGTTGCGGTTACGCGCCAATTCAAATTTTTAACATACTGAAAAATTTGAATATAACCAAAAGATTCGTTTATCGTACCATCCAACGATACAATGAAGACTCTAGTGTAGATGACAGGGCAAGACGTGGTCGCCCTCGGTCTGTTAGGACTCCAGCAGTGATAAAAGCTGTGAAGGCGCGAATTCAAAGAAATCCCAAACGTAAGCAGAAACTGTTGGCCCTTCAGATGGGGTTAAGCAGAACCACGGTGAAAAGGGTGTTAAATGAAGACTTAGGGCTTCGGGCATATTGAAGAAAAACAGGACATCGTTTGAATGCTCGTCTNCTTCCTCACCCATAATGGAAATTAATGTGGGTAATTTTAAATCGTCAGTCACTTTATTCACCAAAAAGTACATTTCCAATCTCTCAACATATGAGGACCAGTTTCCACTGTTTACCGCGAATTCTTTCAACTGTCCCACCGACATTATGTTCATATAATTTTAATTAGTCCAAACAAGAAACAAACAAGCCACAAATTGATTTTTTTTTCCGCGTTCGCCACTAGTAAATAATAGACACGTACGTTGCGTTCACCGTTTATTGACACACTGAAGTGAATACATACTTACAAACATAACAGGTATCATCTCGAACAATTCCTCAGAGCACTGTCTATGTGTTAGTTATTCGCCGAGCCCTACGTCGCACGCGACGAGTTCGACGGGAACGGTGACCGGTGCTTGAGGTACCTAAAAGCGCCGTTAGTGGATCGGAAGGATCCGAAATGACGTGTTTACAGTGACATTCATTCACAGAAAACTACTACCACCCCGCTTATTTCTGTCTCAAAGCAGTAATGCGTTCCGATTTCAAAGTTAGCAGCCGTTATAATATTAAATTGAGACATAAACCTCATGTCTCAAGGTACATAGTGGCATTCACTTTGTGATGTCTATGGTAATCGGTAACAACTTAACACCGGGTGGACTTGACATGAACGTGAGATTATTTGTTTGTTACGCAATCAAATCTTAACTACTCAGCCGATCGCAATGAAATATTGCATACACATTATCATCAGAGGTACAGGAGAGAACATACTGTAGCTTCTACTACAACGGTGTTGACAGTTGTAGGTGCTTATCATACCCTAGTTTTTTTGTTTGCAGGTAGCCTTTACTTCACTTTTGTATACATTGATATATTGTAAATAAAATAAGTTAGGATGTTAATACATATACCCGCGTGAACTCACAATGGGGCGCCAAATGGGCCGCAAAACAAAAAAAATGGTGGATATTTTTTTTATGAATGATTTCTGGAAAATATATTTTAAATTTAGTGTTTTTTTTTTTTTTTGTTTATTGCCCTTGTAGGCAGACGAGAATACGGCCCACCTGATGGTGAGTGGTTACCGTTGCCCATGGACTTCAGCAATGCCAGGGGCAGAGCCAAGCCGCTGCCTACCGCTTAATACTGTAATATAATATATGTTATTTCGTAAATAAAAAGGAAAAAAGGAAGGGGCGATGCGCTAAAAAGGTATTATGCCCTGGACGCGAGTTTAGATCGTAACGCCTCTGTCACAATGTAACTATACTGAGATCTTAGAACTTATATCTCAAGGTGGGTGGCGCATTTACGTCGTAGATGTCTATGGGCTTCAGTAACCACTTAACACCAGGTGGGCTGAGAGCTCGTCCACTCATCTAAGAAATAAAAAAAATAAAAAAAAAATCATCATCATCTCAGCTTGTCCTCTTTCCACTGCTGAACGGAGGCCTCTCCTATTGATAGGCATCAGTAGGTAGATGATCGGTAGGTAGCGGCTTGGCTCTGCATTGCTGAAGTCCATGGGCGAAGGTAACCATTCATCATCAGGTAGGCCGTATGATCGTCTGGATACACGAGCAATAAAAAATAAAAAAAAAGTCCAGTGCGGCCGGTCCATTGCCTTAATCGGATAATTTCCCGGAAAATCACATTCTACAGTAATTAATTTGAAAATCGTTTTTATTCCATAACGTCTTGTACCGATGGATAATTTATTTAAAATCCAACAGTAACTGTTAATAATGTCTTCCTCCGTCGCGATCAGATTCTAAATAATAAAAGCTAATTCCATACTAAGTTTAAATTATAAATGCAAATATTATTTTATTCTCAGTAGAATACGAAATGATGTCTCCCAAACGCGTGTAATTATCGTGAACAATTTCCCAGTTTTCGTTCCGGTGCCAAATATCTTTAATAATTTAAATTTCTTGGCTCGCACTTTTGTTTTTTGTTTTGTTATTGTTATCTCTGTATTCTTTGGTAACTTATGCTATGTTAATTTTTTTTTAAATTCCGACATATTGGACTGCGTCTTTAAGTAACGTTTCTTTATATCAATAATAGCGGATTAAAATATCGTCAGTTTTAATAATTTGATTACTATTCAATATGTATTATTTTTAATAAAATGATTTGCATCTTGCTTGTGAATAAAACATATACTATATATCAAAATATGTTTAAGGTGACTTTGCAACTGCGATCATTGAGCGAAACGCAACGACAAGGACAGTCCAATTCGTATTAACTTTTTTAGTAATATCAAGCTTTGGAATAAACTCCCTTCTTGGTATTACAATAAGGCATATTTCCTTCTATCAGCATTTATCATACAGCATTTTCACGTAGTAGTCAAAGAAGCGGTTTGACTGTTCCCCTCGTATTGCCGCTGTCGCTGCCTTGTCAATACCGATTTCATGCCTTTGATAGCTAATAAAAAACTGTATCTAGAAAAGATATTTCTGTCTAACTACAAACGATTGATGTAAATGAAATTTAAACATAAAATAGGCGAAGACAACAATTGAAAAACTATCTAAGAAAAAAACTTTACATTGAAAGAAGAACCTTAAAAACTGTTTAGCATATTGCCCGGCATATTAATAAAAATATGACTCTATACAAAAAAAATTGAAGGATTTATTAAGCGTTCCCTTTCCAAAAATCGATGGCAAATAAATCATCGTTTTATTCAACGAGACCCTTTTCAAACCTCGATGGAATTAAACTCAACTAATACAAAGCGCAGTTACCAAAGGACAAGCGGACGTAAATATTTTATAAATCTTGGAATAGAGACACGCCTCGTACCCTCGTCATGAGTCCTTGGAAGTTCCAATGTTTCTAATTTCGGAGACTGCTATGTATATTACATGACGTGAGTGCTTCACACACTCTTAATCTTGAGAAGCTTTTTTATTTATTACTTTAATGTGAAACTATACGATTCAGATACTAAATTTGGTGTCAGAAACTGCTATAAAAAAACGTCCAGTTTTTTACTGCTTAAGATGAGTAGGCCAGACTATTATAAATACTATAAATATTAAGTAGGTACCGAAGTCTATCAAAAGAGAAAGGCAAAAGATGAAACCGAATTACAGTTTATTTTTTATGGTCAAGACACGAGATTAAGCTTTTTGTTGCTAATTGTTGCAAAATGACTGGCCCACTCTTCAAAGTTGGACAGCAACAATTCTTTACCGCGAAACTTCACTGGTGGTAGGACCTCTTGGGAGTCCGCACGGGTAGGTACCACCACCCTGCCTATTTTCGCCGTGAAGCAGTAATGCGTTTCGGTTCGAAGGGTGGGGTAGCCGTTGTAACCATACTGAGACCTTAGAACTTATATCTCGAGGTGGTTGGCACATTTACGTTGTAGATGTCTATGGGCTCCAGTAACTCGTCCACACATCAAAGCAATAAAAAATAAAAAATAAAACGCGTTATTCCTAGTGGTGGAACTTTTGAACGGAAACCAGTAAATATTTAACGTTAAGTTCACCTGAGAAACAACATACACGTACGCAATAACTTTAATACAAACATTACTACAAACAATTTAATACGCGTGATTCCGATACGCAAGTTATCAATGCATATATTATAGGATGTGTTTGATTCATGAACTGGAATAATATAATCCGAAAGTGGCTGACTCACAAGGATCCAGTAACTAGCGTCAGCTTCACTTCAGACTGAAATTACGTGGATTAAACATTATTTCGGATTAACAGTGTATAATTTAAGACGGTGGTTAGACTGATTGGCGAAGATCACGGATTCATTAGTCATCTCAGCCTGTCCACTGTCCACTGCTGAACATAAGCTTTTCCAATTGATATCAAGTGTGGCCGGTCCGTTGCCACCTGCATCCGATGTGACCCAGCGATTTTCACACTGTCCACTGCTGAACATAAGCTTTTCCAATTGATGTCCAGTGTGGCCGGTCCGTTGCCACCTGCATCCAACGTGACCCAGCGATTTTCACTAGATCGTCAGTCCATTGGTAGGTGGCAATCCCATACTGTGCTTGTCAGTACGTGATCTCCACTCGAGGACCTTTCTGCTCCATCGGGCGTCCGATGTTCGCGCTATATGGCCCTTCTACGGATTCGTTAGCACGATAAAAACAAATGAGTCATAACTATACGCTTTTTGCCACGAATTAACTAAGATGCACCGTTTATAGCAGTAGCTCTTTCCATGGTCACGACTCTGAAGTATAAACGGCCTCCGACCACCGGTCATCCTCATGTAATGAGGGATAAGAGCAAGAAGAAGAAGAAACTTTTGGGTTCCTTGATGATTTTGGAATATCATGCAATAAAATGAACCAAACAAAATATTCATACAAAAATGGCACTTATATTTCTAACCGTTTACACTCAACATTTTATAATAGACGAAATGACCGCTCAAAGGAAGTATCATTTCATATTTACGAGCCATTGCCGTACTTTTATGAAGGCCTGGACTACTCCACGTTTTATGACATTGTTAGCGCCGGTCGGCCCATATACTGACACTTCAAAGTGAAACGACTGTGTCGCCCTGTGAGTTATGGACTCGGCACTTTAAAAGGTAGTCTAGGAAAAAGTGCTCTTTACACGTTTGCGGTTACGGAAATTTTATTTTACTGTATATAGTTAAATTTTCCTGAAATGGGTGATTCATAAATATGAATCGTGCGTAGACGAAAAATGTCATGAAAATTTTGATAACAGTGAATTTTGAATGAATTTATACTTCAATTCTGAAACATCTTCAATAAAAGAATTGTTGTCTTGCCGAGAACCGAACAAAGACCTCTTGGTTCATTAGCTGCTACACTAACGAAGCGATCAAATTTAATCAAATCAATTAGGTGACCAGTCGTGCAACGTTTGATTAGTTAATTTTAATGAGGATAATTCTCCTGTTATTAATCAGAACAGTTGAGTTGAGTTGAGTATGCAACTCTACCTCCTAATTAAGTAATCCTACCGCAACAAGGCATATTATAAAGCTAAGGATTATTTACTAGATGGCACTACGTGGGAATGAGGCGTTCGCTCCTGGCCTTTTCATTTTTCATTATTATTAATTTTTTTTTAATTGTATTTTTTGACTTGTTTTTTCCTTTATTGTAAATATTTTTATTTATTTTAAAAAAAAAGGAAATATTTTGAGAAAAAACAAAAAACAAAAAAAAGCCCGCTGAGTTTGTTTCGCCGGTTCTTCTCAGGACTGTGACTGTTTTTGGAACCGGTGGTAGAGTTAATATTGTTATTTTTATTTTGACATTCAACAAGTGTGTCATACTGACATCTAAGTTGAAATAAATGATTTTGAATTTTAATTTGAATAATTCTTCCTAATATAAATTCTCTTTATTCTTGTTATTAGCCTACAGGGTATATTACTGCCATTCTTACCACTATTTCTACTGGATCCTACTGGATGTTTCCCAGTACCATTACGAACTTCAAGTCCAATTTTTTATTAAAGCTATTGTAAAACATTCATGTTTATTTACACTGTCTATACACGAGTAGTAATTTATCCCCAAGCACGTTTATAGAATTACTAGGTATATAGAACACTTCAACATTCAGAGGATCGGTTCGTGTTTGGTCTCCAACGTAATTGATGATGACGTAAGGTTTATGTTTCATTGCGGAAATCCATCTCCAAATCGAATTTCAAGGCTATAGATTTCCTGATTTGCGGTTTGAGAATGTGACCATGACCTAAAAGTCTATTATTTTCAGTATCTTTATTAATGAATCTTTTGTGTATATTGGGTTTTTTTTATATTTTATTAGCTTTTTTAACGAGAATTGAGGCTTGTGATATCAGTAAATTAAAATGAAACTTTAATCTCATGTCTTAAAGAGGCTTGCGACATTAAGGTTGTAATGGTAATTTTCATGGCTTAAATGAATAGCTCCCAAGCACTTTAACCCATTTATATCAATATTTAGGGGTAGGTAGCAGTTTGCCTGTACCCCCTGTATTTATGTCGTTTAGAAGCAACGAAGACCACGGTGGGCCATATGCTCATCTGCCTAAAATGAAAATAAAAATTAAAATAAATAAATTGAAAAGCTTAATTTTTTAATTATTATCATTATTTGTTCTATTTCAGGTCGATCAGAACCCGGGATCGCTCCATCTATTGTGGGCTTCACGAAGGACTCGGTCGCCCACGAGTCCGACCGGCTAGCCCCTGGTGACAGGATTTGCAGCGTGAACGGTATCTCCACGGCGCGACTCACTAATGACGAAGTTCTTCGGCTACTGGACAATGTGGAAGAACGAGCTTCACTTGAAGTGGAATATTACATGCCTAATTATGGTGAGAAATACTAATTATCTATCTATCTATCTATATATATGTTGTCTCAGCGCCAGGGATGGCTGAGCGGTAGGTTCCGTCATCACTCGTATTTGGTTGAACACAGTTTATAAAAAGTCAATAAAACCTTTTGAATAATAATTATTGAAACTCAACACACACAACTTTCACAATGACAGGATAAACCGACAGTTTCGTTGCACATACCGACAGACCGACTGACTGACTGACTGACTGACTGACTGACTGAATACCAGAGACTCACTGACTGAGACGGACGGAATGACTGTCTGACACGGAATGCCACGACTCTGTCCACGTACCGCCATTTTATACTGTGGCGTTACGGAGTCTACCCTTCATTTTGTGATATTTATCAAAACAACATTTCATCATTTAAAATAATAATCAAAACCACCGTCTTAATATTACTAAAAGTCGTTATCCACGACATATATATAAATGAATTGCTGTTCGTTAGTCTCGCTAAAACTCGAGAATGGTTGGACCGATTTGGCTAATTTTGGTCTTGAATTATTTGCGGAAGTCCAGAGAAGGTTTAAAAGGTAAAGGATATGAATGTGCTCGGAATTAAATAAAAATAACAATTTTGTTTTTCCTTTGATGTCCCCCCCGTCGGACGGATTCCTTTTGTTTGTTTTAAGTCTTCTATTAAAACGGTATTGTATAACAACAACACTAAATTAGGTTAGAAAAGATCTGTAAAGTAAATTATCTTCAAGTAAGACGTGTGGTTTAAACATGTTTTATCGAGACAATTATTTAGATAAACAGTTATTTAGTTCTATCTCATCTAAAATCCATAATTTATCATGAAGTAAACCATACACGGTATAACTGATTTTATGTAAAAATGATAGGACCATATCAAAAAAATTAACGAGAATTACAGTAATTTATGTCTGTTGCGCTGAGGATTTGATAAAGTCCTTAATTGAATGATTTAACCAGATCTACAAAAACAGAAACTCATAATTCAGAATTCCATGGAAAGCGCTCTGAATTAATCGAGTTAATCCCTCCATCTTTTTTTGTACCATTAAATCTCCCGCCACTAGAGCCAACTTGAGTCATACTATCTGGAACCGGTGCCTTCATTGACAGTGTACATCTAAAGATCTTTGCTACCATGCACTATATGGCTCTGGAATTGGTTTCTTTCCACAGTCTTTCCCGACCGCTAAGACATGTACTTCTTCAAACGAGGTTTGTGAGATTGCTTAGCGGTAGGCAGCGACTTGCTTGTGCCTTTGGCATTACTGACGTTGAGTGACGGTAACCATCAGGTGGACCGTATGCTACTAGGCTTACAACTAAAAAAAAAATTGTTTGATGTCGTGGGACACCGGATAGGAACGAAGTTCTTTATTATAACAATATTAATGTTAAGTTCTATTCAAGGTATAAAGAACATAATTATTCGGGTATATATTTTTTATAATGATTTTTTTATTGATAAAAAAAACTACTTTACAAAGATATCAACTTTATTTTATTCACAATGATTTACAAAAATTATGTTATAATGATATAAAAAGAAACAGCTATTTATATGAATAATAATAATAACCGTCATCACGTAGACTATACATTAGACACTGTATAGCCATCATACTAAGACTATACATAAATAATAAAAATCTTACGTTACGGACGTTTTTTCCCGGTTAGAGTACCCCGCCGCATCGTTCCATGTGAAACTTCATTCCAAAAAACTTTAAGAAGTTTCGAGCATTAATATGTTACTATTTTTCAGCATCGCAAAACTCGCTCTACATCACAACCAAGCTAGCAGAGGTCCCGGTGGAGAAGATTAATGGATCGTTAGGAGTGACTATACGTGGTGGCCTACCGGAGAACTCAGCTCCAAGTGCGGATCTAGTCCTGAACAGCAGGTCCCTTGATGCTCAGCCACTGGTGGTCACTCATGTGAGGCCTGGCGGAGCAGCCTACAATACTTCAAGAATAAAGCCTGGTGATCGATTGTTGAAAGTTGATCATGTAAGTATCGATTAATGTTTTTTTTAATTGCTCATATGGGTGGACGTGCTCACCGCCCACCTGGTGTTAAGTGGTTACTGGAACCCATAGACATCTACAACATAAATGCGTCACTCACCTTGAGATAAAAGTTCTAAGGTCTCAGTATAGTTACAACGGCTGCCCTACCCTTCAAACCGAAACGCATTACTGCGTCGCGGTGGATATAGGCGGGGTGGTGGTACCTACCCGTGCGAACTCTCAAGAGGTCCTACCACCATGTTTTTATATGAGTGTTGTTTACGGGTGTTAGGATTAATTGTAGGTCCACATGGGTACGTACCATGCGTCCTGTCTAATTTTCTAAACTTTCAATTTAAAGTATAGAATAGCTGTTACAATAGAGATTTCAACCTCATATCTGAACATGTGTTGTGGGATTTACTTGTCCATAGACTCGATAAGCACTTGACACCGAATGGGCCGTGAGCTCGTTCACCTACCTAGTGCAATTTAAAAAAAAAGTGCTGATATCTCACTTTATTATAATTTGATTACTATATTTTGTAAATGTTTAAGATTATTTACTACCTTCATTATTTTCCGTAACGCACATTTAAATATTTTAATTTAAATTTATCAAAAAAGTAAGGCTTTGTCAATAAAAAAAATATTTAGGATTTCTGAATAAACTCTTCTTAACAGTCTGTTGATTGTACCCAAATAAAGAAGTATTTATTTTCACAGATTTCCCTAACCAACAAAACACTATCAGAAGTCCACCAAATACTCCAGAATTGTCCTCAAGTGACCAGTCTCACGATAGAATACGACGTTTCCATCATGGAGTCGGTGAAATTGGCAACCGGTCCCCTCCTGATCGAGATAGAAAGGCCTTGCAATGAAGACTTAGGATTGTTTTTGAGTAACCAAAGGATACCTGATGACGTGTACAGTTCAGGGTCTGATACTTATCAGAGGGTTGGTGGCTGCAATGCTATATTCATAGACAGTATACTACCAGCCAGTATAAGTGACAGGTGAGTATTTTTTATTTATTTCTGATATTCAGTTTTCAGAAGTCAACAAGAGTTGGTCACTTATAAAACCAAACATAGTCCTTTACCTGTCAAGAGTTTGTGTCTCAATTTATATTGTTAAGCACTGAACTTTTTTTTGTATAATTCTGTAGCAGTTCATATTTCAAAGATGTTAAAGGAAGAAGGAGTGAGTAGGTAGAGTAAATTGCTTTCTATGAACCCTCAATACTTCAATTTCGTGGTCGTCCAGAATTTCAAAGGTAACAACGCACTCTTTTTACCGAAAATTTCCGTAAAACTCTATTAAAAAGCTCAACGATCCCATTCAAAACAATTCAGCTTTTATTCACGAAAGCTTATTCAGAATCACCGGGAACGGACCCTCTCAATAACATTTTAAGACCTAGTAAGCTTTGGAACGTTTTAAAACTAGGAAGTTATTTAAAGATAATTAGACTTTTAGAGGAATTCAGCTGTAACATGTAGAGGAAACGAAATTTAATCAAGGAAGTTTTATATCATGGCCACTTTTTTTTTGGAATGAAGTGGAACAGAAATAATTATATTGGCCGTTAAAGTTTTGAAGTCCTTTTATTCTTGTTGGCCATTCATTAATTATATAAAATGGGCAAACGAACGCACGATCTACTTGATACGTGATAATCGTCAACCGTAGCCCAAAATATAAATATACTATATTATATTATATTAATTTATATCTCAAGGTGGGTGGCGCATTTACATTGGGGTCTATGGGCTCCAGTAACCACTTAACAGCTGGTGGGCTGTGAGCTCGTCCACCCATCTAAGCAATAAAAAAAAAACCGCACAACTACGTACAAGAAAAACGTTATCACATAAGCCAAGTCATAAAGCCAAAGTTTTACTTGTTTACGGTAAAAACCGCAACGAAATATCTACTTTAGTCCAAAATTGACTGGACGTTTGAAAGCAGCTCAGAAACGCCTGACCACCAGAAAACCTGAAGGCTCACAAAATCCTATTATATTGTTCCATTGCTTTTAATTCGTTCCTTTAATGTCGGTACCGCTACGCAATTACAACTTTCCTAAGTAATGTAATGCAATTAGTACAGACAGGTACGAATTAAGGAAAAACAAAGCTTTAACAATTTTTTTCTCTTAAGATCGTACAAGAGCCACAAGTGTCTGATCGTAAATCAAACAGTGTTTTTTTTTTTCTGAACTCTAAGAAACTGAACTTGATAACATTTTTAAGATTAGTTATTAAAAGAATCCCGATCTGTATGAATTACCTGTTGATGAATCCTAGAAGTTTCCTATTCTTGATTCTGTAACTTTAAAATTTAAATTAAAAGTATCTATCTTAACAGCGGAGGCTTTACTATGTGAATCACGAAAACAGGTGACTTTGAATTTTCGCTTCACACAGCAAGCTCAAGATAAGCATTCACAATGTTTATATTAAGTTTTTATTTTTATTTAATGCCTAGACGTGTGGACGAGCTCACAGCCCACCTGGTGTTAAGTGGTTACGGGAGCCCATAGACATCTACAACGTAAATGCGCCACACACCTTGAGATATAGTTCTAAGGTCTCAGTATAGTCACAACGGCTGCCCCACCCTTCAAACTGAAACGCATTACTGCTTCACGGCAGAAATAGGTGGGGCGGTGGTACCTACCCGTGCGGACTCACAAGAGGTCCTACCACCAGTAAAAAAAAGTCTAAAAGCACAGATTATTAACCCGCCCATTTGCGTTGGTTAACAAAATTTTTAGTTTCAATAAAAATAAGCAGCCTGCCCGTATATTCAGTATGTACTAAAAGTACTGGGCGTTTTTTATTAGAAACAAAGTCAGCGAAACTACGAAGAATAAAACTGAGAAGATTGACCGTTAATTAGAAAGTTTCTTTTCAAACGAGAAACTTCCGTCTCGAATTGCACATTCTGTACTTTAAATGAATTTTCTGACTTGGTATATTTTTAACGGCTTATAATGGTAGAATAAATGTATGGTAGTATGTCATTATCAATGGTAGATAAACCTTTGACGGGCCTTAACTTGCACCTGTTTCTTCACACAACATTTTTTGAGTCAAACTGTCCTAAAATTTTGAATTCCTAAAAATGGAAGTCGTCTTGGCCTAAATGATAAGACCACACTTGTATTATACACGTGTGGTGTATACTACACCATTTGCATGCGAAGAATTCTTGAATACTTTGGCCACATCGCAAGGAAAGACAGTGACAACTTAGAGAAATTGATGGTCACTGGAAAGGTCGAGGGCAAGCGACCAAGAGGCAGGAACCCAACCCGTTGGACGGACCAGATTCGTGCAGCCCTGGATACCACAGTGCACGATGCTCTGCACTCAGCTGCAGATAGGAACAGATGGCGGTGCACTATAAAAAACAATCTGTTTCAAGGCCATGACCAGGACCCTCGGTAATGAGGAAACCGACGCAAGGAGGAGAAGGTGTATACAGGTATACACGTGTCAAGCGATGCGACCAAGCGATGCGACCATACTGCGTATTTGAATACCGGCATGGTCGCAGATCCATTACGATTGGCATTAGCACTACCAATTTTTTAAAGTTCATAAATTATTTCTATGACGAATAAATAACATCAAATAATATTTTTCGAGTTTTTCTTATGTTTATTTTAAAATGAAATATCTATTCGCACTTTGTACCTATCATATTTTAACCTTGCCAAGATTTACTATGCCGACAATCTTCGCAATGTTCTTTGAAGTACCGAGATAGTGATATAATCTATTGATCAAGGTGCAAAGTTACATTTGACTGCTCAAAGTACGAGTTCAGTCATGTTCGATCATGCATATATGTATATTTTATATTATTATGTAGTTACATGTCAGAGATTTGGCTAACCGACATGTTATTGTAAATTGGCAGGTTACACTAAATCACTCCATGGGAAGTTTTACACACATAATCTGCATTATATGGTAAATGGAGCTAGGGCGTCAAATATATTTTAATGTAGCATCATAATTGATTGATAACATTTTAACAGATGGCTTAAGGTAATTGTTAATAATCAATTATAGGTAAAATAACATTGAGATAAACATAAATGTCACTCGAACTTTTTATCAGTTTTTTGTTTTGATATAGAATGATATTTTTTAATATAAAACAAAATTATATCAAAAATAAATGCAGGCCTAAAAATATTTTATTTATTTACAAATAAACCCTAACAGTTTTCCTTGTTTTCCCCTTTTCCGTCCTATTGAATATCGCACACATTCCAGACTTTTGGAAGGCGGGAGGGAACAAGGTCCATACAAAATCATTCAAGGTATTTTGTGTAGTTACCGGTAGCGAGGTGTATTAAAAACCCACACGGGTAAAAACCACTATCCTGTTAACAGTTGTACAGACAGGATAGTGAACAGTTTCGATCTGTGTAATATTCTTCATATAACACAATCGTAACTTTATCATCGTCACGGAGACGGCGACGTTCACTTTGTGATGTCCATGGACCCCGGTAACCACTTGAAACCGGAGCATGAAGCTCGTTTACCCGCCAATTCATTAAAAAACCACCTTGGACAATAATTTGCTTATATTAAGAGAAAGGCTTTCTAAATTTGTAGGTAAAAACACAGCCATCAGATTAACTTAGCGAGGATTAAGCCCTCGGCTTGCAGAGCTTACTTCAAATGCTCTTAAATTACATTAGCGGGTCTCAAAGCAGTCACATAAACTTAATACTAGACTAATCCGGTTCATTTTGTTTGCAAATTTATGACCGGCTTATTGATATCTGAAAGATCATATAAGTAACAGCTAATGCTGGTTTGACGAGATTTATTGTATCTAAATTTGTTGCTACAAGATGTTTTTAAAAAAAAATTGCATATTAGATTTTAAAAATTAAATTCTTAATTATTATTTTTATTGCTATATATAGGAAGACCAATTCATAGGTTCCAGCAGATATATCGCAAGTGGCCAGGCACATAGACATCAATAATTACGACAATGCACCTCGGAGACATGGGGTCGAAAGTTGAAAATGATGTAGTAAATAATAATTAATCACGATTTAGACGAATAAATCATTTGCAGGTGCGGTGCTCTACATCCCGGAGACCAGCTCTTGGCTTTCGACGATCACGTCATTGACGGAAACAATTATACCGCCGAAGAGGTGATGTGCTATTTGGAAAATTGCGAAGGCGGTTTCACTAGACTTCATATAGCACCGAGACATGTTTTAGCCCATGCTGGACGGTTCACCCGAGGTCAGTGTAGTTAAGTTGTTAAGAAGTTGCTTTTTTATTACATAAAGAAAATTCTGACCTATTTCAAGGGTAAAAGTTTTGTTTTTATTTCTTCAATTTTAAATCTTAACATTATCTTCTGTTTTTTTCAAATGATATGAGAACGGTGAAGAAAGTACCCACAAAAGATCAATAATATACAATATATTAGTTATTCAGCCAAATTTGTTTTATCACTTTCAAAGTATACACCTTCAGAAATGATACACTTATGCCAACGAATAATCCAATCGGATTCCGGAATCGAGTTCAGTTCTCGCCGCGAATTCTCCTTTATGTCTTCCTTATACCGAATGAAAACGGATGCCACGACATAGTTTAAAAGGAAAAAACAAAGAAGTCAGCCATATCTGCTGAATTAGGTTGTTGTTCGATGGTACCTGTTGAGTTTTTGGTCAAAAATTCGTTCATAATATTGGCCTTTTGCGAAGATACACAAATCTGGCCTTTGGCCTTTTTCGTCGAATTTGCTCTTTTAAACGTCGCATAAAGATAAAGATAAAGGTAATATTTTTAATTTACCGTGTGACCTTCCGGGCAAGAATTCCGAATGCACAGCACCGCAATAGTCAAAGAAAATACTCAACATGGCTTTGAGTTTTGACCGACTTGGCGTGGTTTTTTCGATTTTGATTCACTTGAAAGGCACCACTTGAAGCTTGTTGACTAGGTTGCATCTCAAACTCATAAACCCACGTCTTGTCACCAGTAATAATGTGTTTCATGAATTTTGTGTCGGAATTGACCCGTTCTAGCATGTCCTCAGCGACTTTGTTACGATTAAAGTTTGGGAGAAAATTCAAATCCATTGGAACTAGCCAAGAGGCAACATTATTCATACTCAAAAGTATTCATTTAATTGGTACGGATCGACTCGTGAGACAAAAAAAGTTCGGCGGCTATTTCTCTCAAACTTGAATGAGGATTTTCAGTAACGATTCTTTCACTTTTGCGATGTTAGCTTCAGTTGCAGACGTTGAAGCCTACCAGATAGAGACAAATTTTCCATCATATCTTGATGCTTTTGAATGCTTTATACCACTCATAAGCATGTGTTTTTGAAAAAGTCGATTCACCGTAAGGCTTCTTAACTTTTTCAGTGATTCCAAACACGAAATTTGAATGGCGATGCAAAATTTAGTACAAACTCTTTTTTTGATGTTTTTATCCATTATAAAATTCGCTAAGCACCAGGACGCTGTCTACCGTCAATACACAGATATCACATTCATTAAATTAATTACTAAACTATTTTATAACATTAGTACTGGTATTGATACTGCTATTTTTCACAAAATTGTTTTTTTTGTAGTTGTATGTGTGTTGTGTGTACTTATGTAGTTGTGTACGTAGTTATAATTATGTCTACGACTCGCGAAAACCGAGGGAAATACTGTAGTTCCTCTCGATTAAGCACACCGTTCAAAATACACAGAAAAACGACGTTCTACTAATATGGGCCCAGGAAATCCTCTTACTCCCTTTATATCTCACTTTCATCAATAATTATAAGTCCCATATTACCTAATCTGTCCACCTAAGGCCATATGAAAAATGGGACCATAATCGTAAAGCAATTTTAGTAAGGGAATCTTCAGGCCTCCCCGTCTGTCTTTGATAGCAGCTTATATGAGCTACTTGAAGCTTTCACCGTTTCCTATGAGCTACTGACTATTTGAGCGAACGGAACTAAAACTTTATTAGACGCTGGAAAGTTCTTAATGAAAATCGATTCGAAATTGATAGGGGACGATGGTAGTCAAGACTTGATTAACTGTTACTCAGAAGCTTCAGGTAAACTTTGTATAGCCTTAGTTAAATACTGACGGTAGAGCATAAGTTTCAACGGGTAGATGCTAAACGTACCACTATCCTAACCGGTTTATTTCCGTGTATAGATTAAGAGTCCCGCATTCAATATTGCGGAAACTGCTATTCAATACATGTAAGACTTCGACTTCATTTCACCCGGTCGGGCATGAACCCAACTGCTTCAACAAACATATCCCATCACAACACCTCTGATGGTCTCAAGACTGGTGGCAGATCGCAAAGGAAAAAACCATACGACATTTGTCGCTGCTGTCTGCACAATGCATACGTTTGAAAATCATTAACTGTTACGCCGGTAAGAGTAACGGCATCTATCGCCGAATCGTCCAAAGAATATCGAAGGATCTAGTAGCACCTAGAACGCTCGAGAAGTACAACGCCATCTATTGTCAAATAGCGGAAATACAATACTAGAAATGTGTGGAATATTCTCGATAATTATAGGGATGTGGTATCGGCTATAAAAGCGTTGCAGAGATGGCACGGAGTCAGTCAGTAATCGGAACTACTCGAAGCGAAACAGCGAACAGATCACCTGAAGCGAAGTGGAAGAAGCGAATTGAGAATTTTAAAGTGTTTGTGAAGTGTTTGTGAAGTGTTTTAAGTGCTCTAAGTGCAAATACAGTGTTAACTTGTAATTCGGTGGAATTTTATTTATCCCGAACTCCAGCGCGTCATAATACAATTGAAATATCAATTTAAGTTAACAAAACCTCAAAAGCTATTTATATGTAAAATATAGTACAAGCAGTGAATGTGACTATCAGCAACTTTGTAAATAATTAAATTATAAAACTGTGTGATAGATGGACTGAAATGATTTTAATTCAATTAAAATTGTACGAAAATTGCTTCTTAACTTACACCACCTCCACACAAACCTATTATACCTACGTACATATGTGTATCAAACTCGAGTTGTATTATTCAAAAGGCTTTACTTCTTGATCTCAGATATAAATTTACGTTCGCTGAAGTGAAATTAAACTTCACTTTGAACTCCGTCTCTTTCATTTCGGCTCAATTATGCTACTGAAAGTTTTGTTCAAAATGATCAAGTAGAGAAAAAGCGATTTTACGCACTCCCTCGTGATCTGGGAATATACATATAAAACGATTATGATATTACCATGATATAAAAGAAAATACTGGTGGTAGGATATCTTGTGAATCCGCACTGGTAGATACAATCANAATAATAGGTCCTGAACCAAAAAACTATTAATTTGTAAGCAATATCGAGATAATTTCGATATAGACATTTCGCTGTCGGACTTCCTTACTAGTCGCGGCGGCGAACGTGAGTACCCGTGGCCTGCAAACGGTGCTGCGCGAATGGTCGCCTCGCCCACCGCTTCGCTGTTCGCACCGCCGATCCCCGTGGCCAGGCCGTAACGGCATCTATCGCCGAATCGTCGAAAAAATATCGAAGGATCTAGTAGCACCCAGAACGCTAGAGAAGTACACCGCCATCTATTGTCAGATAGCGGAAATACAATACTAGAAATGTGTGGAATATTCTTGATAATTCTAGGGATGTGGTATCGGCTATAAAAGCGTTGCAGAGATGGCACGGAGTCAGTCAGTAATCGGAACTACTCGAAGCGAAACAGCGAACAAATCACCTGAAGCGAAGTGAAAGAAGCGAATTGAGAATTTTAAAGTGTTTGTGAAGTGTTTTAAGTGCTCTAAGTACAAATACACTGTTAACTTGTAATTCATTGGAATTTTATTTATCTCGAACTCCAGCGCGTCACAATACAATTGAAATATCAATTTAAGTTAACAAAACCTCAAAAGCTATTTATATATAAAATATAGTATAAAAATTGAATGTGACTATCAGCAACTTTGTAAATAATTAAATTATAAAACTGTGTGATAGATGGACTGAAATGATTTTAATTCAATTAAAATTGTACGAAAATTGCTTCTTAACTTACACCACCTCCACACAAACCTATTATACCTACTTACATATGTTTATCAAACTCGAGTTGTATTATTCAAAAGGCTTTACTTCTTGATCTCAGATATAAATTTACGTTCGCTGAAGTGAAATTAAACTTCACTTTGAACTCCGTCTCTTTCATTTCGGCTCAATTATGCTACTGAAAGTTTTGTTCGAAATTATCAAGTAGAGAAAAAGCGATTTTACGCACTCCCTCGTGATCTGGAAATATACATATAAAACGATTATGATATTGCCATGATACAAAATAAAATACTGGCGGTAGAACCTCTTTCTGCCGTGAAGCAGTAATGCGTTTCGGTTTGAAGGGTGGGGCAGCCGTTGTAACTACACTAAGACCTTAAAACTCATATCTCAAGGTGGGTGACGGCATTTGCGTTTTAGATGTCTATGGGCTCTAGTAACCACCTAACACCAGGTGGGCTGTGAGCTCGTCCACCCATCTAAGCAATAAATAAATAAAATCGATATATAAAATATCGCGAATCGAGCAAAGGCTTTCTTATCTGTTCAACTGTACTAAACACCATCGGTGCATATTAAGTCTAGGACAGATGATCTTAATTATAAAAGCCAGTACAACTGTTGCCAGAATAAGTAGTAATGTGATCACGACTTAATAATTTCAGTCCGATCATATCTTGACGTATTTTATATCTATCTTTCTAATATATACCTACCAATATATAAATCTACAGTGGTTTTTACGGATGTTCCGTTATAACTACTACGTTATAACTATTCATGTAGAAAATACATGCACTTAATGGATAGGCTAATATTTATATGACTCCCTTTTTGGACTCCCTACACCAGTTGCGGGGGCGTCAATGATGAGAATCTTTGTGAGGGTGAGAAATAATAATGATAATTTTAAATGCCCAGCGAAGCGGACGGGTACCTACAGCTAGTTTCTAATATATTCCTAAACTTTTGAAGGAAGCGTAAGTCGAAGGCCTCCTCGATACGTACCATTTAGATACGTACCGACCTAGCTTGGACGTCGTAGATAATTAATAAAAATACGCACTTCAAACTTTACCCACAAAACTATATTAAGTACAATGAACTTCAAATGTGTGCTTGTTTTCAGAAAACTCAGTATCCGGCTCGTCGACCCTCAACGCTAAGAAGCACAGGCAAAGAAACTTCAGACAAAGTTCGATGCCAAAACTTGGCTTAACAGACGATTACGGTGAGTCAGTCCCGGGTTAATGCTATTGTTATGGGATCTTATGGGATTTAAAGGCACCGCTGTGTTTACGGTGCAGGATAAGAGCGGAGTACTTGCTATAAATTATACAAGTATTTATGTGAATAGTTTCGATCACAACGTTTTGTTGGTAGGTCGAATTGGATTTTGTTAATTTCCGCCGTTAATCTATATATTAATACGTGAAGCAAAAACTTTGTATCCCTTTTTACGAAAATTGCGCCGACGGAGGAGTATGAAATTTTCCACACTTATAGAGAATATAGAGAAGAAGTGCACAATGCTAATATTTTTTTAAAATAATGCATAAAAGATTCATTAAATCAATAAAGAAAACATTACACACACTACATACCATGTATTTGACGCACACACGCATGCATACTATTTATTGTCAAACTTTTATTCTTGACGTCTGTGGTCAAATTGAGAATAGATTAAATATTGTTTGTCTTTATTAATATTTTTTTATAGTGTAGCCTTGGCGAAATTTGTGATTATAGAAATATAAAATACAATCATAATAGGGTACAAACTTACAATTCCAATTAATTATAGTCGAATTTCGACTACTGCGGGACCTCTAGTAATAATTAATTTGTGGTTTCTAGGAAATACCACTGTCATAAATAACTTCTCTTTATTAGTGACAGGACATATTAAGAGACCACACGAGTGGGCATCAACATCCTGATAGTTTTTGCGACAGTGTAATTTTGCGTTTCGGTGTGTTATTCAATTTTCTACTTCATATCCAAAGACAATGTGACCAAATCTTCTGGTAGTACTACAACTGTAAAAAAATGACATTTGAAACTCAATGTTTTAATTAAGCTTCGTTAATAATTCGTAATAACACACGATTCAAATTATTTAATAATGCTACTCATTGCAGTTCATTGGAACTAGCTTCACATTTAGTTCTGTTTAACCGATAACATTAATTGAAAAGCAATCACTTTGATCCACATGGCTCTAAGTAGCGTAGCTTTTAGTTTTGTATTTATAGATACTATTTATGTTCAAAATGTGCACTCCAGTATTAGAAACTGGAAATGTTTCTTATTTACGATTCATACATATGCTTTAAAACAATATTATCGATTAACTTGCTGTAGATGAAGGAACAAACCATAAAATATAAACCACTTATTAATATATCTCAGGTACTTTGGAAAAAATACTTTTTTTAACTCAAAACGTAGCAATGCTTTTTTCAGTACCCTTATACAAATACGTATTTCTATCGATACATCGAAACGCGAAACATCCTAAGATCGCATGTAAACACGTAAACCGTTAAAGTATTAGAAACACGAAAAAAATATAATGATAAAAAAAATTCCGTCATTACACTGTAAAAATGGTTTTAATTAAGCAAAACTATTATTTATATGCCATCGTCTCTATAGTGATACTAGTTACAAGTCTCAATCGCGTTGCTCAAAAGCATGTCTGCTTCTCGACACATAACTTCACGACACGTAGGCAGTGGCTTGGGTCTGCCCCTGGCACCGGTGATGTCCGTGGATGAAGGTAGCCACTCACCATCAGGTGAGCTGTATGCTCGTGTATCTATAAGGGCAACAAAAAAACCTAGATTGATAGTAGATAAATACCGGCTCATGGCATGTCCTATCAGTGTTCAAGATAGGAATTAAGGGTAACATAGTTGAAATGGGACTTGTAAGACTGGCCTTTACCAGAAGATGGATTCAACTCTAAATATACAATTTTTTTATTATTCTAGAAGAAATTAGGTAATTTAAAGATAATCGTACTACTATTAATGACGGTATTAAGTGTTTGGAAATGCTGTCAAGAGCTGAAATCGCAAAGTCGTTCTGGTGAAAAATCTTCATGTAGACCGTTCTAATGTAATCATCCTTTGACCTGACACGAGACTTCCAAAGCTACAACAAATTACCATCGAATGACAAAGGGTCTGTGACGTAGAGACACATATAATTAATTTACTGAGTAAAAACAGTTCCAACACCCATATTTGTTTAGGATGTGTTCGTTAGGGTAGTTCGTGCTAGTGCATTATGGTAATTTGGCGCTACTCTTAATTGGGTCGCGAAGGCGTGTTTATCAAAAGTTTGTTGAGGGATTAGTAATTTATTGTCTTTCGTCTAGTGTAGTAGATTTGTTGGAATCAATGTCATCATTCAGAAATGAATTCTGCTACATACTGACTTCGAATTGAATCCCATTAATTCGAACTGAATCCCATTTTACTGGTGGTACGACCTCTTGTGAGTCCGCACAGGTAGGTACCACCATCGCGCCTATTTCTGCCGTGAAGCAGTAATGCGTTTCGGTTTGAAGGGTGGGGCAGCCGTTGTAACTATATTGAGACCTTAGAACTCTTATCTCAAGGTAGGTGGCACGCTTACGTTGTAGATGTCTATGGGCTCCAGTAACCACTTAATACCAGGTGGGCTGTGAGCTCGTCCACCCATCAAAGCTATAAAAAAAAATCTATTAACAAAACTTGAGAACATTATAACGGCAGAAATAGGCAGGGTGATGGTACCTACCCGCGCGGACTCACAAGAGGTCCTACCACCAGTAATTACGCAAATTATAATTTTGCGGGTTTGATTATTATTAGACGATGCTATTCCTTCACCGTGGAAGTCAATCGTGAACATTTGTTGAGTACGTATTTCATTAGAAAAATTGGTACCCGCCTGGGATTCGAACACCGGTGCATCGCTCAACACGAATGCACCGGACGTCTTATCCCTTAGGCCACGACAACGACATATTTACGATAAAAAGCCGCAAAATTAGTTTTAGTTTTTAGTGACCATCAAATCTGTTTTTTTAGCAGAAAATCAGCAGAATTATATGAGCATGGGCGTGTGTCGCGTGGAGTCTCTGAACATCCAGCTGGAAGTGCCTCCAGGCCAAAGCAGCGGTTTGGCTGTCCACGAAGACAACACTGTACTTGTTATTTCACATGTATCTTCTCAATCACCAGCTTATCGGTTAGTTCTGTTCTACGATTTATTATTAGTATGATTTTACTTATGTTATATTGTGTTGTAATATTCTTTTCTTCTGTTCTGTTGTAATATTATTGTTGTGTTGATGACACACGAAGATTCATTACTTTACTTGATTATGATTTTACTTATGTTATATTCTGTTGTAATAGTATTTTCTTCTGTTCTGTTGTAATATTATTGTTGTGTTGATGACACACGAAGATTCAATTAAGCTTTTGTTAAATTTTTGATATTAACTGACACATCAAAATATTGTCTTCACAGTAAAATCATAAAATTAACTTAAACACTTATTATTTATAGTGTAAAAATATTATTAAGTAATGACGCAACGATATTTCTAATTGCTTGGAAATTATTAGGTATAATAAAATGGCCGTCAAGATAAAAAGTGAAAGCGATATTACAAAACTTAGATGCCTAAACACTTTTTAATTAAGTTCAACTTATTAGTTATTCTCAAAGACTAACAGATCCTCAAATAAGATTTAAAAAAAAGGGGAAAATTGAATTAGTTTTTTGTTTTATCTATACAGGGAAATTTTATGCTTAAATAAAATTATGACTGTAAAAATATTCTTACACAGATAATAATAAGTTTTAATCAATAAATTAGCATCACTCCTCCCTCATCAAGGATAAAAAATAACATATTTAACATTACAAAAAAAATTCAATTTTTTTTTTTTTATTGCTTAGATGTGTGGACGAGCTGACAGCCCACCTGGTGTTAAGTGGTTACTGGAGCCCATAGACATCTACAACGTAAATGCGCCACACACCTTGAGATATAGTTCTAAGGTCTCAGTATAGTCACAACGGCTGCCCCACCCTTCAAACCGAAACGCATTACTGCTTCACGGCAGAAATAGGCGGGGCGGTGGTACCTACCCGTGCGGACTCACAAGAGGTCCTACCACCAGTAATTACGCAAATTATAATTTTGCGGGTTTGATTTTTACTGCACGATGTTATTCCTTCACCGTGGAAGTCAATCGTGAACATTTGTTGAGTACGTATTTCATTAGAAAAATTGGTACCCGCCAGCGAGATTCGAACACCGGTGCATCGCTCGATACGAATGCACCGGACGTCTTATCCTTTAGGCCACGACGATTTCAAAGTTAATTAATATATTTGACTACATACTACACTATTTTTTAGGTCTGGCTGCTTGCAAATCAGGGACAGAGTAATGTCCATCAATGGACATGAAAACCTAACTGTTGATGTTGCAAATGAAATTTTACAAAGAAGAAATGATTCGCATAACAACAAATACTTAACTTTAAATGTGGAATTCAGTATGCCTAATACCATAGAAGCGTCTAGTGGTGTGTTTAATGTTAAATTAGCTAAAACTACTGCTGGCCTTGGAGTAACAATTACAGGTAAGGGGAATTTTTGGAATCAATATACTTAAATAGGCAGATTTGCTTATGGCCGAAGTAATATTCAGAAGCTACTGAATAGTACTGTACAGTACAATACTGTACATAAATAGTACTGTACAGTACTGTACATAATTAATACTGAATAGTACATAGCTCACCACTTTCTACAACATGAGCACTGCTATTTATTCAAATATTTAAAATTGAAGTCAAATTTTAATGCGAATAATGGATTTTAGCACGCTTTTACTAACATAAATCGTATCTATCTATATAACTGAAACTTTTGACATCATTTTCACGAATTTAAGGATGTTCGATTGACTTATCGATATAAATTTTTTTATTTGATTTAATACCTTAATAATTATCAAAATCTAAAAAATAATAATAATCATCTTAATTTTTGGGTTAACTTTGCATTAATGTATGTTAGTTTGAGAACTATACATATTTAAGCAAACTCGTTTAATTTGACGTCATGGCCAAAACCTCATCTACCTAAATAATTTTGGTTTGATCACTACACTAAAAACACATTGCAGGTTGTAAGCAGAAATTACTGAGTAATGAAGAACCAATGATGATATCAGACATCAAGCCTGGATCGGTTGCACATCGAAGTGGAGCTCTTGCCCCAGGAGATCAACTCTTAGCTATCAATGGACAGCCACTACATAATTTATCGCTAGTAAGATTTCATAATGTTTCTAACTGTATTACATTTTAAATTTAACAGATGAAAAATTTACTTTTATAAAGTTAATGCATGTTTCGCAAGAAATATTAATACACAACAATTATATGATTTGTAGGACACAGCATTTAATATACTACAGAATTCACCAGAAGACATAATTACGTTGAAGGTTAGAAAAAGAGATTTAACAGAAGACTGGTCAAATGTACACAAGAACGCAAAACTTACCTTGCAAAGTTTCAGTAATATAGAAACTAAAGCTGTAGTGCACAGCGGAGAAGATTCAGGACATCACACTGATAGTCCAAACAACAGTGCTAAAGAAAGTGAAAGAAGCCATTGTAGTAACGAAAATAATGCTGTTTTTACTGTAGAGCTCATAAAGCAAGAAAACGGTCCCTTAGGATTAACGATTGCGGGTAGCGAAGATATAAACCAACCTATTCTGTTAAGTGGATTGGTGGAAGGTATGAAGAAATCTTTGTTTTTTAATTTGTTTTTTTTACACAATTCACCTGTAATAGGCCTCTTAACAAGATCAATGTTTTCATTAAAAATTTAATGGCGTTGAAAATACGTATTTCACAGGTGGTGTGGCTGAGAAGTGTGGTAAACTAGCTATAGGTGATGAGCTGTTGAGTATAAATGGTGAAAGTGTTTTGAACAAACCACTGTCGGAAGCTATAAAATTACTACAACAAAGTGGTCAAAGAGTTCAGTTGCAACTGTGCAGGAAAGTAACAGGTAATTAAAAAAAAAGCATAATTGTATTGTAACGTACAAAAAAACTGTTTTTTTTTATTATTCCTTAGATAGGTGGACGAGCTCACAACCCACCTGGTGTCAACTGGTCACCGAAGCCCATAGACATCTACAACGTAAATGCCACCACCAACCTTGAGATATAAGTTGTAAGGTCTCAGTATAGTTACAACGGCTGCCCCACCCTGCAAACCGAAATGCATTACTGCTTTGCGGCAGAAATAGGCAGGGCGGTGGTTGGTACCTTACAAGAGGTCTCATAAGAGGTCCTACCACCTAGTGAATAGATTAAAACAGAGAACACATTATTAGGATCTTTGGATAATGCAGAATCAGCGAGTGCAAGGGATTCTAGCCATTCGACATCAAGTCCAGGCTTATCCAACGATAGTGCTGTAGAATCTTGGGATCAGAATACACCAGTAAGAACAAGCGCGAACTGTGGTGAGTTTAAAATACTTAATATGAATATGATCGTAAAACATTTCCATCAATAACCGTACAAAAGTTTATATCGTAGGTACCTCAGAAGTTATAGAATACGCAGTTCCAGATAAAAGCCGAATTACGGAGAAACAACCATATTCTCCATCGGATGATGATAAGCTTATGGCTTCATTCAACTCAGCCGCACCATACACTATCAACGACTTACCACTACCAAATTATTCTTTGAACAATTCTCTTAAAACTTTCCATTATGAAAATAACTGTATCATTCCTGAAGCTACGCTAAAAAATAAACAAAATATAACGAGAGAAGACGACGTGCAGCAAATTGAAATTTTGACCTCGACAATGAAAGACTGCAAATTGCATAACATGGAAAGATCTTCATGCAAATGTGAATACGTGCAGATGAGACCGTATGGTTTTGTATCACCGAAAACCAGGAGGCCCGATTGGGATGATTTTTTGAATAACGGTATCTACACGGTAACAACACCTCAAAAATCACCAATGAAGCCCGGTGTTCCGGGGACAAGCTTTCAATTCTCCACCAGCCCTATTTACGAAAATGACGTTCCAGGTAAATTAATACCCCTTTTTTATATCTTACCAAATGCAACTCATATTATAAAAAAACGAAACCATACATTTCAGACCACAAACTTAAAAATAATAAGAATGTATTTTTTACGTACAAAGTAATTTGAATAAAAAAATCTGAAAGGTCACTCGCACAAAGTCAACGAGACAATGAAAATTCTATCTTACGTTCTGATGACAAAGGTTACTTTTTTCTTCTAGGTTTATACAGTACCGAGACATTGTCCCCGGCTAAAGGATCTATTCATCATGTCATTTTGTACAAAGACGCAATCTACGATGATTACGGATTCTCTGTGTCAGACGGATTGTATGAAAGGGGGGTTTATATCAACCGGATTAGGAAGGGCGGCCCTGCAGATATCGTCGGTTTGCTCCGGCCTTATGACAGGATTTTACAGGTGAGCTAAAATATCAGATTTTGGCACAAAACATACGTACCCGGAAAACTTCGAACCGATCTCCTAGTATATTATTATAACTTGTATTGGATATGCGATTTCTTATTATTTGAGATCTTAATCCTACGATTCCGCAGATAGAAAACGGTAGAATTAATCATTTATCTTTTGGGAATTTTGGGAATCAAGCCTCTATTTTTCCCGTATTTTAAATAGATGTTTATTTTTCTTTCTTCAGGTGAATGGAACACGAACAGTGGATTACGATTGCTGTTTGACAGTACCATTGATAGCGGCCGCTGGTGATCGTCTCGAAATTGTCGTCCAAAGGCTTGTCACGTCCCGAGTAAGCATACTTTAGCGAACTTATCTTGATAAGCTCTTATTAATTAAATTAAGAGTTTATGTTGTCCAATTTTCGATACATTTTAGAACTTGATTTTATTTAAAAAAAATCCATATTTACGCAATTCCCATTGCTATCAAGCGTAGGATGATTAATTGTTAATGTGACAATTAATTGTTATTTGTCATCATATAGTAGCAACCATTTTTTTAGTAAATCGAATACTTAGATTATTTTATCTCAAATTTTCGACATTAGGGCACATACTTCTATAAGATTTAAGCCGTCTCCTCACTTGTTTTTATTTATTGCAGGAATTGAAAAATCAGAGGTTTGAGGATAGCTCCAGCCCGAGTGAAAGTAGTATAGTGACGAAGACGATTTAGTGTATAACCCGGCTGTAATGTGATTACATCCAGAGAGACAACTCAGTGAATAAGTGCAACATTTTCAATGTGGACAAAGTAATAATCAGTGTTAAGCTCCGCGTCGGGATCGCTTCATAGAAAATTAGATTAATACGAATAGTTAAGTTAGTGTCCTTTGTGAATAAGGAGTTAAGGTTTAAATTATTTATACGGTTTAATATCGCGTCTTATTAGTTGTGTTTAAAACATTGTCCGAAATGAAAAATTTCAATGCATATTTTTTAATTCGCTTGGGTGAACCGTAAGAGTACTTTAATTGTGTCTGCGATTGATTTAAACTTTTAGAACAGAAACTGACAAATCTGTCAGTTTCCTTTCATAATCATGACCTTTTATGATCATGAAATGTCAACGAACCCTCAAATTAAGTAAGAGGCTATTTCAGAGGCATCAAATCTCTGCTAGAGTATAATGAAATAGGCCTTTGATTAAACATGTGCAAACAGATGTTGTTAATAGCATATCCATAAGTTATCAAGAGATAACTTAGTGGGCATTATTCTAAGACATTTTATCAGTTGAATTGAAATCAATTTTAAACAAATCGCATCTTGAAGTCTATGATTCGATGTTTGTAACCTTGTTTTAACATTTTATTTTATTTTAAGTAGCTGTGATAATCCAGTTGAGATTTTTAGTTCCGAATACCTGAATGTATTTTTAATAATTGTGAGTGATTAAAAACTTTTTTTATTTTACATTTGTTTAATTATTTGTTTATTTAACGATTTTATATTAGTAGTTTTATAGTTTTCACGGAGACACATAACCGTGTAAATGTACAATTTCAAAATTTTGAACGAAATACGAAAAGGTAACCAATTAAAAAATTATGCTAAGATTTTTTATTAGGGATTAACTGTACATAATTTAAAAGAGCAATTTAAAATTAGAATACAAAAGATTAGGTGCTATTTTATTATATTTCGATATTTTTTTTAATTTAGTTTAATACGAGTATTTGTATTAACATGCCGGGAAATTTTGATTCAAATACAATGTTTTTTACTTTGTTATATTATTATATTTACCGGTAAAGACTTCATATGATTTTAAGATAAATAATAAATACATCAAATTACTTGTGTTTTATGTAACTTCTACCAAATAATAAACACCAAAGAAAGTTATGCCATGTCTTGCCGTGTTGTAGTCGTGTATTCTACTAATATATTACTTTAAGAACAGACTTAACTAATAATGGAATAATAACAATGCCAAAGATTAACCAAAATTGAGTAACAGCCTCTCTATTTACATGATCTTCTCGATTAAAATAAATTAATTTTAAAAACAATAGTGTCAGATTTTGATTTGTCTATTTATGTCAATGTGCTTATTAAAAAAAAAAGTGATTCACCATTTTCATGATGTTCTTAATTTTAAGTGTGAACAGGTATTTCGAATGTATAGATTTTAGTTAGTTGAACTACAAGTTCAATAAACTATAATAATATAATTAATTAGTTTACGTGCAAATAGAATTTATCCTTAGATGCTTAGATTATTAATATTTAGAGCAAAAAAAAGAAAAAATTGTAGCTACTGAAATCAGATCGGTAGCATAATAAAATAATATGTTGTATGTTAAGCAAAAGATACTAACCTGTGTGTTTCGGCATCGCCCGTGTGTTTCTTAAAACTTAATATAGTTATTGTTGGCAATTCTGAAAAAGTTTCTGGCATGCCATAATAAACTACAATTAATGACGAGTGCTCTCTTCCGAATAATATATTCAATCATCTCATTTGTAATATTTAGACGCCATGACGTATTTTCTAGCTTATCGTAAGATACATAATATTTCTAACCAAAGTACAAGATAAGCAGCATGAAAAGATTATAATTTTCATTCGTTTTATTGGCTGATATCAATCAATCTAAAGATCTAAAAAGAACCTGCTTAACAACCGAGCAGTGATGGAGTTATTCGAGATGGAGTAATTTAATAAGTAGATTAAATCAGCCTTCACTTACTTCCTCAATAAAACATTCATTCAACTTCGGTTTTCGATTAAATAAAATAAAAAAATTGTAAAAATATAAAGGAGTAAAATATGATTGATTACATTTAAGTTTAGTAATGAGCGTTTGAATCTTTAGAATAGTTATTGTACAGTTAATTTGTAACTTTATAGAAATTAGAAATGTTTGTTGTAGATAGATCAATATAAAATGTTTTATTAGATTTGTAACGTTTTCATGAAAATGTAAATATTATGAAAATTAAGTAATACTTTGATGTAATTAGTAATAAAACGAATGCGTGACACGTAAAACTGATTTGTGTTGTTTTTTTTTCTTTCATTCGCTTCAATATTTCATTGTTTCGCTGATTCAGCAACAAATAACATCATGTCCTTAAAAAAATTCACTAAGTCATAAACATTCATGTGGATTCTAAAGTCGTCAATAAATTGTTTTTTTTTTTACTTTTTCGTCAGTTATAAAACAGTTTTTTTTAGTCCGATGTTTCGATACTGTTTCTCTATTAGTCTTTTGAAATAAAATCAGTGAGAATGAAACCATTTAAGTTTGCATTTAGAAGACCCGTATGTGAAAACCAAAGGAAAATCATTCAGTTGTAGATAGTTGTATAATGGACTTTTACATTTATATTTTTGTATCTTAAATTTTAAGAGTAATTTATGTACATTTATTTCTATTTACATTTAACCTATTATTTTAATTGATTGGACTAGAACGTAATTATCACTGAATCAATAAAACGATATACATGATTATTTTGTTTTATTTGTACAAGCCTAATGATTTTACTGGCTGATTCTGAAACGCTTGCTGGAAACCGGTCGCAGAAGTCAATTACCTGTTTTAGTACCAGTTCAATTTGCATTTTTCGGCTTCCATAAACACAAGAAGTAATTAAAACGACTCTTACAGTAGAAATTTGCGTTTATAATTATTCTATTACCTCTGCAGCTTCGAATATATCATAGTTTTCGTGGTATAAGTGATATACCAACGTCTTATTCTTTGCAAATAATTAAATGAATTTAATAAACGCGAAAACGCGATCGTGAAGGTAATTTGAATTTCACTTTTAATTTTAGAAGACATTCGCTGAATTAAAAAGGCGCCAGCATAAGATTAAGAATATACATGATTTTCTCCTTTAAAAAACTAATTTAATAATAATCTCGACATATGTGGCCTCATCATCATCATCATCAGCCTGCGGCAGTCCACTGCTGGACATAGGCCTCCCCCAAAGCTCGCCACTGAACCTGATCTTCGGTTCTACGCATCCAGTTACTGCCAGCTGCCCTGCGCAGGTCGTCGCTCCATCTAGCAGGAGGGCGTCCTACACTACGTGTGCCGGTTCGCGGTCTCCACTCCAGAACACGTCTACCCCAACGGTTATCGGTTCTGCGACATATGTGTCCAGCCCACTGCCACTTCAGCTTACTAACTCTGCGAGCTATATCGATCACTTTGGTCTTTGCCCGAATGACCTCATTGCGTATTCGGTCTCGCAATGACAAACCGAGCATAGCTTGCTCCATAGCTCGCTGAGTAACTTTTAATTGGTGGACTAGTCGCACAGTCAGATGTGGCCTAAGCCTATTTTTTTTCTACCTATGCTGACAGCCTTGAGAGGCTTTATCAGCTTCGCCCTAACGTGTAGGTGAGCTCACGGTGCTCAAGCTGGAGTGATGCTAGCACTGGCCCTAGCAAGAGCAGTACTTCGCAGAATCTACCACCGGATCGGAAACGCGACCCACTGAGAAGATCCGGCGAGAAACTCAGTTGGCTGTGTCTATGGGTTAATTCGCTCGTTGAGTTCTTCTTCGCAATCGACGGGTTCGACGAGGACGGTGACCGGTGCTTGTGGTACCTGAAAGCACCGTTAATGGATCGGGAGGATCCGTAGTGGCGTATTTTGGGCGCCTAAGCCTAAAATGTATACCATTGCTATAGCACAAGGGATCTCCTAGCCTTTCAAACCCAGACTGTTTCGCGACCCGTTGCGAGTTTATTATTAATTACGATCTATTATAGAATTTATATTTTATTCGTATTTTCTGTGACCCACTATATGATGGCTGTAAGTGTCTAAACACACTTTACAGCAAACGCCGTGAGCAAGCTAATGCAAAATAATACTGAGAGAGAGAGCAAACAACAAATTATCACGGACCACAACTAAAAAAATGAACACAATACATTTCAAGCAAAACAATGTCAAACGAATTAGTGAGTCAAGCGATGTAAATCCGCTGTGAATAAAATACGTCGCTATTAATCGAACAGCATCGATTAATGTCACATCAGGCAGAACTGAACTGGTGAGCGGTCTTTACACGAAATCATTAACATGTATTCACCCACACGTAGAGTTTATTTGAAAGCACAATTCGATTTCGAAGATAAGGTATCGTGATAATAGCCAAGGACTCGTATTAGGAGCCCGATTTTCTCGCCGGATCTTCTCAGTGGGTCGCGATTGCGATCCGTTGATAGATTCTACGAATCACTGCTCTTGTTAGAGCTAGTGTTAGTAAGCTCTCTCAGGTTGAGTCCGTGAGCTCACCTACCGGTCCGGGCGTATCTGGAATAGCCTCTTAGGCTTCTAGTGAATAGGCAGGGAAAAGTAAAGCTCGCATTAAGGATTTTAAAATATTTGAACTAATAGTAGTATTTACATTATGATGCTTACGGGCTCCAGTAACCACTAGTATACTACTACTAGCTTAGCGACCTCGGTAACTGTACTCGTCGCACTCGACAAAGAGTTCGACGTGCAACCTAACCCATGCATCAGCCCGCTGAGTTTCTCGCCGGATCTTCTCAGCGGGTCGCGATTCCGATTCTATAGTATAATCATTCGCGAAGCAGCTACTCTTGAGTTATTAGGTCTCCTTAGGAAACTCAGGTAGCTGTTAGTAAATTCCACCCCTCCTGGCTGAGCCCTTGCTCGCCCACCTGTCCTGGTGAATCCCTCAATCACAAAAAAATAGTAGACATACTAAAAATCTTGCATTACTAGCGACCCGCCTTCGCTTCGCTTCGGAAACTGTAATTTATTATTGAATTCTCCACTATTTAATGGATGTTATTTTACATATAAACCTTCCTCTTTAATCGCTCTATCTATTAAAACAACTGCATCAAAATCCGTTGCGTAGTTTTATCTTTAAACATAGGGACAGACAAACATAGGGACAGATAACAGAGAAAGCGCCTTTGTTTTATACTATGTAGTGATACAGTGCATGTTGTGTGTTCGCTTAAAATAGATATCATTTTCCCGAAACTGTAACAACATAAACAAAACAATTGCAATATGTTTCCGATGATGCCGCCGTCGTTCTGTGCCGCGACACGTCACGCTCGGTTAGCGCATGTCAGACGGAGGAACTGAAACGTGAATTTTGATCATCCACCGCGATAATTCCTTCACATCTGATGTAGGTACATGTATTCAGAAACGTTATTTTTAATTTTTTTTAAAATGTAAAAGAACATTTAAATGTTTTAATATTTTATTCCTGTATAATTTAAAATAGTTTTACGGTTTTATCTCGCGTTTTCTGTTTGTTATTATATAATTTTCTGTGCTTCTAATACGTGTTGTTTACAATTTTTTTGATCAAAATTCAAAAACTATTTTATATGTGCTTCACATTTTTATTTATGTATGTGTCGATGGACACATGGTATCTTCGACGCTGGCCTATATGACGTCGTGGCTAATAAAAAAGTGATGTGATCTTTAGGCCCTAATTTTAAATAGTAGTTGAAGAATTCCGAAGTATGTAATCTGTACTGCATTCAATATGACTGACGTTTATTATTATACTCTATTCCAATTACGAGGTCCCATTTGACAGGTGTTATTATTATATTATTGTG